AAATATTTTATTTATGTGTTTTGGAAAGTTCTCGAGACGTGCTATAAGAACATGTAATGAAAAATTGGGGATTCCATTAAAAAAATTCAAAGTGACCTTGTCCTGACCTTGACGACGCCACTCAGGGTCAAACCAATGTTATCATCTTATGTCCCCCTCAAAGTCCGAAAACTTTTGTCGGAAAAATTTTTCTCTCCCGGGCTTGATTTTCGAGATATTCGACTGGATGGATTAAAATGGTCCACCCTGTATATATCACTATAAAGCGACGGTGGATGAAAACGAATTTTCGCGACTGTTTGGAAGAAAGAAGGGCAAAGAAAGAAAGAAAAAAAAGACTGAACTAATTCACTACTGCAAAAAAAAAAAGAAAAAATAAATTTAATTTTTTATTTAAAAAAGATTTCTACTTTTCTGGAAGAAAATGAGGATAATGTAAATTATGCAACGCTGAGAAATATTTAAAATACTACGGCAACTTAAATAATTTTGTGAAATAAAATATCTAATTAATAATCGTAGAAGAGTATTTTTTTAAATTAAAATTTTCATTTTCTATTGTGATCAGTAACGGCATTATCTTCGGGATCAATTTAAATAATTAACCTCCTTAAACTCACCGCCTTGCTCGACGTGCATGAAACTCGTATCTCTGCCTAAGGCCTTTTCCTTCTTGCGCCACTTTGCACGACGATTTTGAAACCACACCTGAAGCAAAATGGAATAAAAAATAAATTAATGTACAAAAATTAACTAAGTTGGGAAACAAAATCCTGGATATTAATTTAATTTGAACTTTCATGTCTTAATAAAAAGTTTTTGTTACCCATAATATGTCCGTAATATGATGAGTCGGGATGTTAATTCAAATTAAATTGAATTAAGAAAACAAAATCCTAGACCTTAAGTTCAAATTAAAATGGTCCATAATTTTTCTTCTCGATTTAGTGTGAATTAACATCCCGAGACTTATCATATTACAGACATATTATGACCAACAAAGACTTTTTATTATTTGACAACTATACAAAACGAGTGTGCATTCTGCAATTCCCGGTTGTAACAAACACATCTGTGAATACTTATTATGTGTGATTATTTATGTTTTTGATCAGATAAGTAACCTTGTCACCTAACTCGGCCTTTAATCTTCCAGTTTTCAAAAAAGAATACTTTGTAAGATACATATTCAACATCTCACATTGTATTAATTAGCATTAAAAATATTGTGCGATTATTGCAAAACAATTTATTACAACATTTGAAGAAAATATTATCACAATTTCAATTTGTCCAATTAAACTGATAAGATACAATTCCGCGTGATCTCTACTAATTATGAATTATCGGAACACCAGGATATTCGTTGAAGATCCAAAATTAGCAGGAAAGGGAAACCATGAGAGAACCCCAAACGCGCCATCAGATCGGCCAACAACAAAAGCTTGCTCTCGAGGTTGATTAAGCTAATTGTTAACAATTATCCTGATTTCCTCCGTACCCCTGAGTGCTAGCAACCCCTGCCTCCGGCTCTATTCTCGTCTACCCCTGACGACCCTATATCGCTGGCCCGGTTGCCGTATAAATACTTTCGCTTTCCACCCGAGCTGTTACAAATTTTCGTGGGTACTAAAAGAGGTAACAAAAGAGAAAGGGGAAAAAGAAGGAAGAAGGTTTTATTATACTTTTATAAGTTTTAAAAAAAATCTGAATAATATATACCTATATATATATATATTATTCAGGTTTAAAAATATATACATATATGTATATAAAGTATATATGTATATATAAATATATAAGTATATTTAAATATTAAAAAAAGGTATTTAAAAAATACAGACAAATATAGACTCTAAATGCTTAAATATATAATATTAATATTTATAGTAGTTGTAATATTTAGCAGTTTCATATGATTAGTATTATAAATAATATACATAATTAAATTTATTAATAATAAAATTAAGGTCGGACAATCTTTCCTATCTGAATAATTTGTTAGTCTTTCCTTTGGGAAAGGTGCGCATCTACAAAGATTCTAATTTATCACATACCCGACATAGATTTACTTGAAAACCGGATGAAATTGTTACTCACGGCAATCTCTGTTGGATCGAGACAAATTAGCGTGTTAGTTCGGTCGGATTGCAGAATAAAATTAAGGCAACGTGAGAAAATCAGGGGTGCACCAGAGAGAAGAAAGTAGCATCAAGGAGGAGAAGAGAGGAATAACGTTGAAGCGAGGGAAAGAGGTCAGCGCTGCGAGACAGGGAGGAAATTCAATTGCCTAATTGCTGTTAATTATTTAATCGCTCCTGAATAGCCTCTAACGCTTAAGTGCTCGCAAACCTTGCGTCATTTAAGCGACCCACCGCGAACTCGAAAGTTTGCAACGTCGACGCGCGTTTCCATAACTCTACCCTATTAAACCACTTGCCATAGAAATCGGCAATATTTCCATAATACATTGATCTACGTTAAATTTAGAACAACCCTTTAAATATGCTTCATTAATTAAACCTTTATATATTCCTTCTATCAGTCTTTTTTTTAATTAACATAATATACTGATGTCTTTTGAAAAAGTACCTTTATAAACTTTTTTACTGTAAGTAATATATTCATTATTAAAAGAAATGTTTATTATCAATTTAAAAATATTAGGAAAAATATATTTCTCATGCAAGCAATTTTCGAGTTCGCGGTGGGTCGCTTAAAGGTTTATCTACATCTACGTCTAAGCTCGTTTGTCGTAAGCTCCTTACGACGATCGTAACGCTAACCTATTAGCTGTTAATCTCATCATACGAGTTGACACAAATTCAACTATTACGATATATTACGGTACATTTCGACGCGACAGATTCACTATTTCGCTATTGGCTGTTAACATTACGATTTATGTAGACAAACATTGTTTACGACAGCTTTTTACAACCACGATCACTTGCGATCGCAGCATTAGATGTAGATAGACCTTAAATGACGCAAGGTTTGCGAGCACTTAAGTCATTTGTTGATGATTTAACATGTTTATGTAACTTGAAAATCATGACATGATTAGCATTATAACATTTGTCTTTGGCAAAATTTAATTAGAAAGGAGCTAAAATAAAGAAAATGAAGAATAAATAAAAGAATAAATAAAGAATATTAATTCTTAGTATATACGGTAATTTTCCGACCTTTTAATACACGCGACGGATCGTTCGTGTGTGAGTTAATTTTCATCACTTTTACAAGTATACAAAAATTATTAAGTAATATTACATATATTTTAACATCTTTAGAAAATATTTGTAAGATTGTGTGTTAAAAAAATTGTATGTAACTGACATAATTAATTACAGACAAGACTGACTCAATCATGTATACTAATTGTAAGAATTAAGAGAAGACATTTTCTTAATGTAGACTTAACGCAATTCGTGAGAAGTCGCGCGCTGCAATGATTCATGGTAGCCTATATAAAAATTCCATCAGAGTGTCCGAGCGATGGCGAATTATTTGCCGGGGTGTAGGAAACGTCCAGAAGCGACTCGCGATTGCATTACCATACGCGCTCGATCGTCGATACATCGGCCGACCGTTAATACCGAAAAATGGGGTAATTTCGCATCTGGAATCGGCGCGTGAGTGAAGGGATTGGGAGGAGGAGGAGGACGGGGGTGGGGGGAGAAGGGACGGTACAGGAGGATTTCCTAGATTGAAATAAAGTGGCCGTGGCACCACTGTGCGCCGCGGCGGATCATTTAGCGGTTTTGTCGAGCGACGGCCAATTGCCGGCATTGTCGCTCCGCTGTACCACAATGGGCCAATCGGAATGCTCTCTGTCTCTTTTCAGCATCATCGCCACCCTTCCGCCGGCGACCCCCTACGCAACCCCTTTGCACTCACCCACGATTGTATACGTATAGAAAGTTCATGCGTAAGTGTGCTTACTTCCTCTAAAATTGTCGACAGTTTCTTTGTGGTATACGTCGGAATAAAACAATCGAATCGGCTGATTCCAGAAATGTACTCACTCAAGTGTATTGGCTCCTTAAAAGAAAATCGATAAAAGATTTTTTTCTTTATTTAATATTTCTCAAGAATCGTTGCCACTACAAAATATGTACTTTCTATTTACGTATACATAGATACCACTTATGCATACTAATTTCACCAATACTCAAATGAATTATAATTACTATTTCAATGAATAATTGGTTATTGGTTATAATTCATGATTTGAACTTTGACACTGTTATTGGATTCATTGTCAATTATTTTATATTGTAACGACAAGTTTTTATTTTACTAATTAACAGATTAATTTATTCATTATTATTTTCTACTATAAAATTGAATTTTTTTCTTACCAACACACATTATGATTTCATTTCTTAATTTGCATTAGTTTTCACTTAGTCAAACAACTAGTGGATGACGCACTTCTTAAGCATGAGAAGTTAAGTTTCACCCTTTGCAGGTCGAGAACGTGAAATTGCGGAATAATATGCGGAATAACCGTTTAATATCGCTAGAGATGGCTTGAAATAAAGCCGTAACGTTTGATGAATACAATCAAGAAGTAAATATATTCTACACGAAAATCTATTTGCGCATTAATTACCGCGCCGTTTACCCTCTTCGGCCTTTTTGCTCTTTGAATATTTATTTATTATTTCAATATCGAGGGTTATTTATAAATTTATTTATTGATAATATAATTTAATTATACATATATAATATAATTATATATATGTACATATACAATTATATTAGTAGTAAATAGATTTATAAACAATAAGTTTATAAATATATGCAAATTATGTATATATATTTACACAATCTGTAAACAAGCAATTCATTTATAATTGCAAGCTGAAATATTTCTTGTATTCCACACGTGGAAACTAATATATTTTTAATACAATGTATATTAGAAGGAGATAAAAGGGGAGTACAAATGATCGCGTACGAAACGCGATCCCCCGTTACGGTGCAGGATTGAACTACACCCCAACGCTAACACTGCAACGCGTACTCGAATTTTCAAGGACGCCTGTTTAAATTCCAAAGCAGATTATTATTACTCTACACGAGGCAGTCCTTTTTCTGTGAAATTAACCGTTGATTCGGGGCGTAGCGTGTGCTTCGCAAAATTACAGATGGAAAACGGCAGCACGAAATTTTGCGATACAATAGTCTCTAATTAGTTAAGTGACTTGCGCCTTGAGGCTGAGTCGCCAAAGCGCAATTCCGCGAATGCTCGAGGATGCTTGCAGAGTGATGTTCCTCAAACTTCGTAATATCTACCTACGTATAAATCGATCCTCGATGAAAATTGTTGCACGTGAAAATCAGTTTATGCTATTGTCCAGTAATCGCTGCGAATACTGCGATATAATATAATACAATGGAATTAACCATTTTATCGATACAAGGAAATGCAAAAGAATAAATGTTTTTGTAAATTATAAAATGAATTTTGATCCATAATTACGAATAATAAAGTATCATAATAACTATTCAAATATATTTCGTTATAAATGTTATTAATGCACTACTTTTCGTTTACACAACTTATCGCATTATTGCCTCGAATTCTTTTAATAATCTCCATATTTAACGTCGAAATTACGCATGAGCACCGCGCGCGCGCGCGCGCGCGCGTCGAGTTAGCCTTTTAAATTTTCATCCCGCCGACCGTATCTAAAACTCGTCATTAAAACTACTTACGAAACTTGCCACTATCAAATGTGCGAAACTCAGCGGCACCCGCGTGCCTCACGGGCTTTGTGAATTCGTCTGGTCAAAGCGACGAAAGGTTAATTATACTTCTGCAACAGTCTGACAAAATCTGGCCCCGACTTCTTTCCCTTCTCTTCAAGCCGCATTTGTGGAATATTTGAATCAGTCATTGCGAAAAGGGCATAATAAGTTAATCTCTTGAAAGGACATGGTATAGTCGAGAGTGTTGCGGCTATATTTTATTCTTATAAAATAAAACACGGTATTTAATAACGGACAAAACAAAACACTCATTGTCCTTTCGGGCTATGATATTAGACATTTAAATTTGCCACATCCGTTCCATTATATATACTTGTATTTCATTTCCGCAATATAGATGAGAATTATATAGATTTCAAATGTGTGTAAATTAGTTAAAATCCTTTCACATTCCAGCACTCAGATCTTCTTTTTTTTTGTTTTTTTTTTTTTTTTCAAATTAAGAGCCGTTGTGCCTGAAAGTCTACTCTTATATTCCTACCTTCCTATCTAAATATTTGCAAGAATTTCCGTTATTTCCGGAATATCTTTCCTTCATGCGGCATATGTCCTTTCAGCAATGACTGAATCGTTTCTTGAAATGCACCTGTACTCTGGCCTCCGAAAGATCCAGTCTCATCGCCAGCTCCTCCCTGGTAAACACGTCCGGGTACTGCGTGTTCCCAAAGGCCTTCTCGAGCTCATGCAGCTGATAGGTCGTGAAAGTCGTGCGCGATCTTCGCACCTTACGCGGCCGGTCAGATTCGCCCAGGTTCAAGGGATCGTGCAGCGCGTCGTTAATCTGATGATCGCTCAGGTGACCGAGCTCCATATCGCCACCATCGACCACAGCATCCGACGACGTCGCGTGGTCTGAAATCATTAATAACGCAATTTCTAAGGCGCAACCTCATCTTGATTTCGTCAAGGAATATTAATATTGCTTATTATTAATATTAATTTAAAACCAATAATAAAAGTAACAATGTAAAGACAAGCTCGTCAATGTAATAATAATCAAAATATAATGGAAATAGGCCAAACTAACGAGCAATTAACGAAGGCAATTGAAAGCATAATTTTATAGTACAAAAAATAGACGCGGTACATGTTTTGACTTTACTTAGTCTTCTTCAGCCGCATTATATCAAATTAATAATGAGAAACGTAAGTCACATAATCGATATGAAACAATAACCTAATAAATTAATATAGAATAACGAAAGTCACATAGTCAATATATACGGTAAAGTAATAAAATAATAGACATTAAAAAATAGTAAGAACAGTCAACGTATAGTAATTTAAGAGTCAATACAATCATGGTCGCGGTCAAAAAATTTTTCTTTTATTCTGGAGCAGTCTCTTTGTTCACATTAAAATATCCCAACGAAGTAAAAATTTAGTTAGAAAGATTGTGAAACTTGTTAAATAACTAAAATTAATATCATCAATGTGTCAGATAATGTAAAATTCACAAGTTTTTTTATATATAAACAAAGAAGAATAAATTCAAAGTTGTCGCTGTCATGTACAATAGACGAAACGATAAAAAGATTGTATTAAATAAATTCTCTCGCGAGTAGATTATCTGATACAAAATTCTAAAACATGTATCGTTTTTTTACACCACAGATTGACATGTCAAACATGACGCGTGCTGTCAAATGTGACATCAGAGCATTTCTCAACTTCGATTTAAGGAACTAAATCGAAAAGAAGAACTTTCCGTTTCGTAAAGACGCGAGAATTTGTAATCCTCGAAATTTATTTGGCGCATCCTCGGCCTGTTAAACGCGCGTATATATACGTACGTCAAACGGTACCATCCGATACTTGAGCGCGGGAAGCGATCGGGAGGCGATTAAGCCATATCGCTCGCGTTGCCAAAACGAAATTGTCGTTTTGCCTGATATGCCAACTCTGGGCGGCGGTGGTAGCGGCGCAGCGGGGAGATACGGGGCGCAATTTCATTTTTAAGCCGCACAACGACCGGTACCGATATAACCGATACGCCGATGACGTCCGATCGGCGGATTTGCCAATTTTTAAGCCTCACCCGGCGCTTCATTCTCTCTCTCTCTCTCTTTTTGCACCGGCTCCATACATCTGCCTGCGTGTACACGCCCGCGAAATACCCTACAAATGTAAGTGCGCACATTATACGTATGTGCTCGACAGTACTTAAAAGCCGTCGCTGTCAGTGATTAGCAAATATCACGAGTGCACACTACCCACACCCTCCTTCTCTTCTCCCTCTCGCGATACAGCAGCGAGCCTTGCAACCCTCCCCTACCTTCCCTCCCGTGTGCAACGTATACCCTTCCCGGCTTTCTGCGATCACGCCCGCCTCGCTACCCCAGTCATATTTCCTACCATGATCACTCGTTTCATCTTTGCGCGAGCATCAACGAGGGCTTAAAGCCTCATTAAAGTAAACTACACGTAGACATGGTAGTCAGATACATATAGACTGTTGATTCGTTTCAGGTGAGAAATCGAATCGCGGTATGTCGGTTCTACGATAAACGTTCTTTCAGCGATCAGCGTAGGATAATCGCGCATTAAATAATTCTGATAATTCACGGATAATTTTGTGATAAAATAGCTGAATTTCCGCGAAGGTTTCGAGGCGATTAATTTATTAATAAATTGAGGAATCCTTTTATCTATATATTCTGTAATATTTCTCGTATTAAAAAAATTTAGATAATTGACGATTATACCGGCGGCGATTATTTCAACAATTTTGTCATAAAACTTTCAACTCTACAACGGTACAAATCGATACGCGGAAAAACGTTCGAAAAACGCTCGTGCAATGCGCTTGATGTTGCACGATTTCGCTCAGATAATAACAAATCGATTGATCTGCATATAATTTCAAAAGGCACTTGACGGCGTTAAAAATAAATTCATCATAACGAGTTTTAAAAATGGAGACTCGCAGGAAACATCGAGCCATCGTGCGTTGTGCGCTCGTGATGACGAGATTCCGTGGAAGTATCACCGGAAACGGTTATTCGCGCGAGTAGAAAAGTAGACAGAAATACCTCACGGATTCTCACGTAAAAATGCATCGCGGTAATGTCAGCGGTGAAAGCAATACGGGCGGTAAAAATCGAGCGTCGCGTTGCGATAAACCTTGTTACTTCTCCGACGCTCATAAGAAGCAGATCTATTGTGTATGTGTGTTATATACATATATATGTATACATACGCGCGCGACACAAATTGCCATGCGATTTATTATTGGCATTATTGCCCTTTGAACTTTCCCTTGTCAGTAATCTTGAGAATGATACGCGAGCGCGCGCATCTCTTTCTCTGACTTCCTCGTCTCTTTTCAAGGAGCGCCTTTCTATGGATCCTTTACAAAATATTGAGGTGCTTTTCAAACTGCGGAGAATTTGGAATGGCATGAAATCGACACGTTCTTTCTCCTTGTGAAAAAAAAGAAGAGAAAATAACGTTACCAAAATGCAACGGTCACGAAAGAATATTTAAATTTATTTTATTTTGTTTCGTGTAGACAAAAGTTGTAGTTTTAATTTTAGACGTTATAGTTTAAATGAAATATCTTACATAAATAAAATATTTCCCTCCTTTCTCCCTCCTTCCTTAAGTCTGCATGGTGTAAACGACTCGAACGTTCACCGATCTATTGACGAAACTGACATTGCGCCCTCATTACTACCGCGAACTAGGCTAATTATTAATTAGCTGACTACACATGGCGCTTTAGATTAATATACCTATTATAATTGGATAACGATCTGAGACCGAAGCGGCAACTACAAAGCTACAACTTCGTCTATATCCGCTTACGTGCACATACCCCGACTAATTTCACATTAAATTATAATCTGCTTCATAAACGTTTCCCTCCGAAATCACTTCACGTTACATCGTGCCACATCTTCGAAATATAATATCCAGTTTATAGAATAAAATCAATTCCATTAACTGTTCCATTACCATTAAATGAAATTCCAATTAATTTTTCTTATAAATTACGGTGGCTCAGACCATTTTTTGTTATCAACTGGCAAGTCATTTAGTTAAATATTTAAATAACGTTATCTTTCATTCTTTCATTTGTGCGGTATAAATGTAAAATAATGGTCTAAATATGGCCTAAAAAAATATTGTTTCAATCCCTTTTTAGTGAAAATATTTTTGAACTACAGACGTCCTTTATTTCAGATATTTAACTATTCTATGATACAAATGAATCGTATTGGGAACTGCCTGCGCATCAGGTACTTTGGTTTTTCCCCGACCCCTCGTTAATTTAGCTTGCCCGTAATTCTAGGATTTCTTTCATTTCGTGTATGTACTTCAATTTAACAAATTCGGTCGGTCACGTGGTAATTTCTTTTCAAATGACTGTAAGGTTTACGATTATCCACCCCAGTAACGCGCACGTAACATCCTTTTACGCGTCTCCGCTCGGACTAATTAGACAAGCATTTACTACTCATGCGTAATAATGCTAATCCTACTTTTTGGTGTCGATACATAGCCAGCAGTTGTGATAGGATGAATCGAGGATAGGATCGAAAACGTATGCACGCCGCCGGCGCGCGTATGCACGCGTGTGCGTGCACGCGCGCAGCTTCCGCACGCACGCATACACATACGCGTATAGAGAGAGGCATCGTCGTACTAATCCAAGCTGAATAGAGAGATTTCAATGTTTTTATGCTGGGGCACAATGGAGTACCCACTTGATGCTTAGCTCTCCACTGCTTTTTATTAAATCTACGGTGCGTCGACGCCTGATGTGGACCAGGCGACCAGGGGCAGGGTAGGGATAGTTGAGTGAGAGTGAGGCTCGCGCAGGACGAAATTAAAATTTATTTACCGTGCCGATTGGACACATGTCGCGAATCATTACGTCGTGAGACGCCGACGAAGTCTGCCTGCAGTCATGAAGTCATTGAGAAAAACGTCCGCCTATTATAGAGATAATCAAGAGGAATTGCGACAATTTATAAATACGCACTGTTAATTTTAACAATTGATAAAAGATATTAGAAATAAAGTAAATAATAATAATCAATGTAATCATGATACTCATTGTCGGTCGATAAAATTTATAACTTTATCAACATTTTTTATGTTTTATGTTGTCTTGTGTATCTAAACGTATTATTATATAGCCTTTTGAACTTTCTTGAATATATGAACTTTTTCCAATAAAATTGTATTATCTCAAAGTGTTATTCCTGGTTTGTAAGCAGATCTTGTGTTTCTCATTATATGTGGCAATTTCAAAAGTATGATAAAACTTCTTTGCAGAAAGATTATAATATATAAATATATATTATAATAAGTGACATAAAAATCGCTTACTCTCTTGGTCCACGTTTGTATTATATGTAACAAAAATTTAAAAGTATTAATATATGTATATATGTATGTATTTAATTATATATATAATTATATATATAATTAATTAATATATATACATATATATATATTAATACTTTTTTTAATATGCATATGTACATTATA